ATATTTGGTGAAGATAGTCTAAATCAACATGTAAATTGGCATTTTAAACAACTTTAAAAAAAAATAGTGGTATTTTTGATCCAACCAGATGAAGGCTTGAGAGACTGTTTTCCTATTCAAATGTCAAATTTTCTATATGCATAACTGAAGAAACACTTTCTAAATGCATCCATCTTTCAGAAGAAGATAAAGGTGGCAAAATGGCTGCAGCAGATTCTGTGCAGCAGAGACGCCAGTACAGACGACAAAACCAGCAGTCTTCCTCTGGTATGGGCAGTGATTACATTTTTTTCCTACTACATTTCCTAATAAAAAATATTTGATATATAAACATCTGTGTATAGGCCAGGTGCAAGTGGCTCTTGGTCTGTAATCCAGCACTTCAGGAGGCTGAGGCGGGAGGATCACTTGAGCCCAGGAGTTCAAGACGAGCCTGGGCAACACAGTGAGACCTCATCTCTAAAATAGATAGATAGATAGATAGATAGATAGATAGATAGATAGATAGACAGATAAATAAACAAACATCTATGTGCAGCATGGGTACTTACTTGCCTATGTAGAAATCTGTCTAAGAAGGTGGGATTTTTTTTTTTTAAGTCCTTCTACAAAATTTAATCTTCCATTACATTGTTATAAAAGTAATAGGTCCCTAGGATGCAATAGTGAAACAGAAAACAGAAGTATAAAATTAGAAAAGTACCATTCTTTTTCCAACCCTCCAATGCTTTTATTTAGGAATTTTCTGTGCATATAGAAAAAGGAAAAGAAAAAAACCATACAGAAGCTCTGCTTCTGACCTGTAATAAATGGGTTCTGTAGATACGTTGCCTCCCTTTTTAACAGTATATTTAGAACATCTTTTCCTATTCTTAAAAATCTAGACTGGGTGCAGTGGCTCACGCCTGTGATCCCAACACTTTCGGAGGCCAAGGTCAGGAGTCCAAGACCATTCTGGCCAGCAGGGCAAAACCCCATCTCTACGAAAAATACAAAAATTAGCCGGGCATAGTGGTGTGCACACTTGTAATCCCAGCTACTTGTGAGGCTGAGGCAGGAGAGAATCCCTTGAACCCTAGAGGCAGAGGTTGAATTGAGCTGAGATCACTCCACTCCACTCCCGCCTGGGAGCCTGGGTGACAGAGCAAGACTTTGTTTCCCAAAAAAAAAAAAAAACTACCCTATTCATTTTGCTTGTTGCATTTTTTTGTATTACAAAAATATACCAGGCTGGGCGCGTTAGTTCAAGCCTGTAATCCCAGCACTTTGTAAGGCTGAGGCGGGCGGATCACTTGAGGCCAGGAGTTGGAGACCAGTCTGGCCAACATGTCAAAACCCTGTCTCTACTAAAAATATAAAGATTAGTTAGGTGTGATGGTGGAGGCCTGTTATCCCAGCTACTCTGAAGGCTCAAGCAGTCTCTCTGCCTTGGCCTCCCAAAGTTCTGGGATTACAGGCGGGAGCCACTGTGCCCAGAGTGTGCCATCTTGATTGGATTGTACTGTGGAAATGATTTCTGTGTCTTATTTGTATAATGAATATACTTGGCTTTGAAATCATTGAGCATATATTGATAAGGATTCTGTTCAAAACTGGGGGCTTATTTATATACATACTTATCCTAGTGAACACTCCATCCACCTAGATTTGGAAAACTTGGATAGATTCAAACACAAACGTAACATTTTCTTTGTTATGTAATTATAGACTCTGGCTCCTCCTCCTCTTCAGAAGATGAAAGACCCAAGAGATCCCATGTGAAGAATGGTGAGGTTGGCAGGCGGCGGAGACATTCCCCTTCCCGGAGTGCCTCTCCATCACCACGAAAGCGCCAAAAAGAGACTTCCCCTCGGTAACATCTTTTCTTCAGTGGTCTTCACTGATGTTTTGTAATTGTCATATAACTTGGGACTAGAGAATTTGGTTGACTCCTTCATTTCAAGTACTTGGATATGGTTGGATTTTTGTTTGGTTTTTAGGGTTGTTTTTTGTGCTTTGTTGGGTGGTTATTTAATTAGAACTGGTAAATTTTAAACCACTGTGCCATGTATGTGTGCATGATTAGAAGAATAAACCAAACAGTTACAGCAGTAACTCCTTAACATCTTTGAATATTTTAAATATCTGCATTAATGGTATTTAATCCACCCAAGTAAATAATTGAGTGAATAGAATTCTTGACATTTGTTTTTCTCCACTGCTCTCAGGATGCAGATGGGAAAGCGATGGCAATCGCCAGTGACTAAAAGGTTGGTTAGACACTACTTTGTAAATTAGGGTTACATGTCAAAAGTTTTAGTAACTTAATTTTCTATTTAGGTGACCTCGCCTCATTCTTAAATGTATGGTAGCTGTGGCTATGGCTGTCCAGTTCCTAAGTTGTTTTGGTTTGAGTATTTTTTTAAAACACATTAGATTAGTGATAGGATTATACATGAGCTATTTGTTTTAGACCCTTATTTGAACTTAGATTTTTAATACCTGGTTATACTGTTTTGTGATAATTTGCACCACCATACATCAAGTGGCACACAGATTTTAACAGTATCTGTATACTCTTCAAGAGATAGGATTAATTGCTCCTTAGATTTGTGGGTGTATTTGTTATGACATTAGGGAGGGCAGGAAAAACTAGGGAGAAACTTTAGAAGTATTAAAAATGATTGGAAGACTTTGGCCCTGTTCAGTCTTTCTAGTAGTAGAAAGGTGGGTTGCATATCTTTATTGAAACTTTTGATTATTAGTGTCAGGGTGACCATGAAAATGTAAAATTTTAGAGCCAAACCCTAATTCAGGCCTTAATCTCATAAGTGAGAAGACAGAGGCCCTGATGTGGCAGTTTCTTAGGGTCACAAAGTGACAAAGTCAAATATTAGACCTATGCCTTCGACATTACACTAGTCTGTCTTAACCAGCTTTCTGCTTTTGGGGGCCTTAGCTGCTACTGAATTTTGAAGTATTTATCCTTGCAGAAGCTATCCCACTGTCCTTTTTGTAGCTTAATTTTTGAAGCTGTGTTCTTTTAGGTAATCTAATCAGTGAGAGTATTTTCTTGGAAAGGAACCAGTAAGCAGTGATTTTGGTGGAGCAAAGCACAGGGTATTTACACTGTGGAGAAAACTTCTGCTTGATACTGAAAGATAAAAACCTAAAAAAGATCAGTTTGGATACTAAAGCATTCTTTTCCCAACTGTAATTACCTCTGGCTTTTGTGAAGTTGCTAGCACAGCAACTAAACAATTGCTTTTCGGAGTTAGATTAGCGGTGCAATGTATTCTCTTTGATCTCCCCTCCCCACCAAATTATGGAACTACTTTCTGTTCTGGAAAGAGATTTCTCACTGCAGTAAAATCAACACTGATGCTTATTGCTCTACTCCAGGAAATTTTTGTGTTGTTTCTCATCATTTTTAAACAATATTTTAGGCCAGGCACGGTGGCTCACACCTATAATCCCAGCACTTTGGGAGGCTGAGGTGGGTGGATTACGAGGTCAAGAGATCAAGACCATCCTGGTCAACAAGGTGAAACCCCATCTCTACTAAAAATACAAAAATCAGCTGGGCATGGTGGCGCGCGCCTGTAGTCCCAGCTACTCAGGAGGCTGAGGCAGGAGAATTGCCTGAACCCAGGAGGCAGAGGTTGCAGTGAGCCGAGATTGCGCCAATGCACTCCAGCCTGGGTAACGAGTGAAACTCCGTCTCAAAATATATATATATAATTATATACTGGCAGCTTCAAGTTTAATGCTATTAGAAATTGCCATCAGGTTCCTAGGATTTAGAGATGGAGGAAGGATTATTTGGAATTATGCTACAGTATCATATTTTAGAAGGAGAGAGAGCGAGCCTGGTTTCAGATATTTTATATGTAAAGTGTTCAGTGTGAAGCCTTAGTCCTCAAAAAACATAAGCAAATTTAAGTTGAAAAATTTGGTAATGAATTTTAGGATTTTGTCTGTTCGGTTAACATAGCTTTCCTTAGTTTCAAAGGGGAACCAAGACAAAACATAATTTCAGATTCATAGGAAACATGAGTCCTGTCCTGGGCAAAAGAAATAAGAGCGTGGAGCAGAGACATCCAGATTAGGGTCTTAAGCCACTTGAGACTTAGCATTTTTGAATTTCTATATATTAGAGTCTCTAAAGCAGTTGATTCCTAACAAAGAATCAGAATCACCTGGAGAGCCTTTCCAAAAAACACCTGACTGGACCTTAGCCCAGACCTGGTAGACATAAATCTCACATAAGCTTCCCAGGTGGTTCTAACGTGTATCCCAAATAAAAAGCAGTGCTCTGATGCGGTGTTGCCAAACTGTTTTCACTCTGTGTCATGTCAAGAATGTTTTACATTATGATCCAGAGTAAAACGAAAATTTCACAAAATGGTATTTACCTTTGTCACAAGTAAAACACTCTGGTTTTATTGTTGATTTTTTTTTTTTTTTTTTTTTTTTTAAAGGAAGGACGGGAGGTGGGGGGGGGGGGGGGGGAAAAGGAAGGGGATATTATTAAGTTTTTAAATGCTGCCACCCAGGGTCTTGAAATGATCTTGACTTATACTTTGAAAAATAGTGTTCTGAAACTTAGTAACCATTGCTGCCCTTGGGGTTAATGATAATTGAAACCATGTCTTCTGGATCACTTAACTATAGATGCAGCTGACTCAAAATTAACTATAGGCCTGTAATCCCAGCTACTCAGGAGACTAAGTCAGAGAATCACTTGAACCCAGGAGGGGGAGGTTGCAGTGAGCCAAGTTTGTGCCATTGCACTCCAGCCTGGGCAACAGCGCAAGACTTCATTTCAAAAAAAAAATTAACTATAATTCTTCTTGGTTTAGTGGTAGACGGAGGAGAAGTCCAACCCCACCACCCACCAGAAGGCGACGGTCTCCTTCGCCCGCCCCTCCTCCTCGACGGCGCAGGTCTCCCACACCACCGCCACGACGAAGGTACTTTGCCAAATATGCTAACTGGAGCATCTCCCAGCCCTCCACACACATAAGATGAGTAATGGTGCCCACTTCATAACAGGGTTGGAGAGAGGCACATCTCGTGTGTGTGTGAAAACCCAATCATCATGCTTATGAACTACAGAAGGATCTCTGAATTTTTCTGATTATTACATCTTACTAGAGTTAGTGGACTAGCATGGTTCAGCCAGTCGTAAAAGATCAAATATTATTCCATTTTTATGAAGAGTCTAGAACACACAAATCTATAGAGATAGAAAATAGATTAGGATGGGGTGGACATGGGGTGGTAATGGCTGCAGAACTATATGAATATACTAAAACCATTTAATTGTACATTTTAAATGGGCAAACAGGTAGATTTTGTAGCATTTTCTGGATACCTCTATAGTATGCTTAACAATTATGCCAAACCTCAGTCTAATTATTAGGAAATATCAGACAAACCCAAATTGAAAGTCATTCTGCAGAATACCTGACCAGTATTTAAAAGTGTCAGTCATGCAAAACAACGACAGTTACAGATTGGCCAGGAACTAAAGAGATGTAAGGTCCTAGAATAGAAAAGGGACGACATTCTTTGGTAGATGGGGTGGTTTTGCTGTTTTAGTAATACTAAGTAGTTGGGATTACAGGCACCTTCCACTGCACCCAGCCAGTTTTTGTATTTTTAGTGGAGATGAGGTTTCACTATTTTGGTTAGGCTGCTCTCAACTCCTGACCTCAGGTGATCCTCCCGCCTCAGCCTCCCAAAGTTCTGGGATTACAGGTATGAGCCACTGCACTCGGCCTGGCTGCCACTCTTGAATGCCTATTACATGCCTGTAAAGTCTAGGTGCTATATATGCTTTACTAGTCCTCAAAATGACCTTGCTTAATAGTTGTTATTGTTTGCAGTTTTCAGGTGAGAAAATGGGGAGTTCAGAATTACTAAATAATTGCCCAAATATGGTGATGAAACTGTTTCCTACCACATTGCCAAAGTATATGGCCTATTATAAAGCTAACTCTGGGCATGAATTTACTTCGAGCTAAAAGACTGCAAGATCCAAGAGGAAATTAGGCAGTTGGGGCTGAATGTTATAGTCAAGTCTAATTCCTAAGAGCTAAGTTAGCTTTGTATAGGAATTAAGCATTAAAAGGAAGGCCAAGTTGGTCTTTCCTGAAAATGCATTCTGCCTAGCAATAGTAGACTTCTGTTGAAAAGTGGTCTTTTGAGACAGAAAATGGAACAGTCTTTGAGAGGAGGCAGAAGTATCTTTAAGGCTTGTGCTGTGAAGTCAATTATTCATACAGAGTCCAAATGCTAGTTCAGAGAGGATACTGTATAAAATGCTCTTGAAAGCACGGACTTCCTAAGTGACTGTAATAGGGTCCTTCTAATATAGTTACTTGGTTATTATATAATAACTGATGTTCACAGTTAATTCGTTACAGTGCAAGATTCTCTTTACAGAAAAACATTGTTGATTTCATATAGATGTTAAAAGACTTGACAAATTCACCTTTTCCGAAAATTGCAAATTTTTGTTCATCCAAATGTCTTTTTTTTTCCTTTTTGTACTTAGTCCTGCAGACAAAATGCCCTGTGGTGTAGTCAGCTGAGATAAGCAAGTTTTATTGATATTTAACGAAGACTATAAAGATGGCGTGTTCACTTATAAATATATTCCCCATTGCCTAGTGGTAACTACAGTGTAGCCAAAACTACGGATTACTTTTCTCTTCATCCTGTTTCTATATTTTGTTGAGCCTTTCAGCTTAATAATGTCTGTTTTTTCTAGGACTCCTTCTCCACCCCCACGTCGGCGCTCACCTTCTCCTAGAAGATATTCTCCTCCAATACAAAGGAGATACTCTCCTTCTCCACCTCCAAAGAGAAGAACAGCTTCTCCTCCTCCCCCTCCTAAACGAAGAGCATCACCATCTCCACCACCAAAGCATCGGGTCTCCCATTCTCCACCTCCCAAACAAAGAAGCTCCCCAGTCACCAAGAGACGTTCACCTTCATTATCATCCAAGCATAGGAAAGGGTCTTCCCCAAGCCGGTCTACCCGGGAGGCCCGATCACCACAACCAAACAAACGGCATTCGCCCTCACCACGGCCTCGAGCTCCTCAGACCTCCTCAAGTCCTCCACCTGTTCGAAGAGGAACATCCTCATCACCCCAAAGAAGACAGTCCCCATCTCCAAGTACTAGGCCTATTAGGAGAGTCTCCAGGACTCCGGAACCTAAAAAGATAAAAAAGTAAAAATATTTTATGCTTTTTGGTTAGGAATACTTACATAGTATATTTGGAAGCTCCCCCCCCCATATGAAAGGTTTAAGTTATGAATATGAGCTTTTAAATCAAATTTCAGTTTCTATTTACAGATCCTATTTCATTTTGGGGATAGTTTCTATGGCATAAGTTAAATGCCATAGGCTTTTACTTGTCTGAGCAGTTACCAATTTGTTTTTGAGGGGTATGCTTCCAAAACTAAACTCGAGTAATACATAGAATATTTCTTGTGTGTGATGTAAGGAGCTGGCATTACTAATTTTACATAAGAAGTATTAAAAGAACGGATAGAGGATTATGGGACTATAACCACCCTCTAGGAAACAGGTGATGTAATTGGACATGTTAGTAGAATCAACCAGCAATCTAAGTGGTATAAAAATATTTGAAATTCTTAACTGGCTGTACAATGTAGTTGGGTTGTTTTCTCATGTGAAGAGATGTCTGTTCTCAATGCTGAATGTTTTCTTTTTTGTCTAGGGCTGCTTCACCAAGCCCACAGTCTATAAGGAGGGTCTCATCCTCCCGATCTGTCTCTGGGTCTCCTGAGCCAGCAGTTAAAAAGCCCCCAGCACCTCCGTCCCCCATCCAGTCTCAGTCACCATCTACAAACTGGTCACCAGCTGTACCGATCAAAAAGGCCAAAAGCCCAACACCAAGCCCGTCACCGCCAAGAGTATGTGTCTACCTTGTTTTGGTTACCCTTTCATAAACATGTATGTGGTCACTTGAAGCAGAGAAAGTATCATTGGGGTATTAAAATATTGGTGTTTAAACCTTTTTTTCCCCCATTTGTGAGTTATAAATCTGATTTGGCCAGGATTCTGTATTGCATAAAATCAGTGGTTAGATGTCCATCTGTTTTTTTGTTTGTTTTTTGAGACAGGATCTCACACTATCACTCAGGCTGGAGTGCAAATCATAGCTCACTGCACTCTAAAACTCCCAGACTCGGCTGGTTGCAGTGGCTCACACCGGTAATCCTAGCACTTCGGAAGGCTGAGGCAGTCAGATCACGAGGTTAGGAGTTCTAGTCTAGCCTGGCCAGCATGGTGAAACCCTGTCTCTACTAAAAGTAAAAATAATAATAACCGGGTGGGGTGGCGCATGCCTATAGTCCCATCTACTCAGGAGGCTGAGGCAGGAGAATTGCTTAAACATGGTAGGCAGAGGTTGCAGTGAGCCGAGATTGTGCCACTGCACTCTAGCCTGGGGGGCGAACAAGATTCCATCTCAAAAGAAAAGAAAACTCCTGGACTCAGGTGATTGCTTCACCCTAGCTTCCCAAGTAGCTAGGATTACAGGCACATGCCACTACACTTGGCTGACTTTTTGTTTTTAACTTTTTGTAGAGGCAGGGTCTTCTGTTGACCAGGCTGATCTTGAACTCCTGGCTTCCAGTGATCCTCCTCCTGTGGCCTCAGATGTTCATCTTTAATTGGGTTGACTGAATAGTTGTGCAAGCTACCTGGATTGTGAGGAATTTTCAGTAATTGCTTAGAAATGTGAAGTTGAAATATAGATTAAATTATTATAGCGGAGCCTACTTTTTTGCATAAATTTGGTATGTGTGTCATGAAGAAGAAACGGTTGTCCCTGCTCTAAAGATAGGAGAGCTCAGATGCTATCTAGAGACATGGGATCCATACAGGCTTGTTTAGCCTGATGGCTGGTACCATTTATTAAAAGACTGCTATATATTATTATGGGTGAGTTACAGATATTCCAATTTAATTCTCACAAGAGCTTTATCAGGTGGGGATTATTACACTTATTTTAAGTAAAAAGGTCTCAGAAAAATTCAACAATATTTCTGAGGTCAAATAGTTCAGGAACTGGAATTCAGCTGGAGATAGCCCCTGACTTTGAATACTTTTCTTGGTGATAATTGCTCTTGGGCCTTCCCTACTCACACCCTCCAAAGCCTTTCAGAAATTTTGACTTGTCCATTGGGGATTTGAGTAAATAAAATGTTCTGTTGGACAGAATATTAATCAGATTGATGGTAAATGCCGGGTGGTTTTGTTTGTCTTTTCCCTAGAATTCGGATCAAGAAGGAGGTGGAAAGAAAAAGAAGAAAAAGAAGGACAAGAAACACAAAAAGGATAAGAAGCACAAGAAGCACAAAAAACACAAGAAGGAAAAGGCTGTGGCTGCAGCTGCTGCGGCTGCTCTAACCCCTGCAGCCATTACAACTGCCACAACCACATTAGCACAGGAAGAACCAGTGGCGGTGCCAGAGCCGAAGAAGGTATTTATGAACTCTGTATATGGCGTCTTGCGGTATACATACAGGTAGCAGAGTCATTCTGTTTTGAGAAGTAGCAACATTGTTTTTTCCATTAATTGGCTACTCAGAGATAAAATTCACATACCATACAGTTCACCCATTTAAAGTGTGTAGTTCCCTGGGTTTTAGTATATTCACTCATGTAACCATCCCCACACTTTGATTCTGCCCTTGACTCAGCTCTTCCTACCAGGGTCTCAACACTTGTTAACCCTGTAAATTCTCTTTTTTTAGGAGACTGAAAGTGAAGCTGAAGATAACCTTGATGACTTAGAAAAGCACCTGCGTGAAAAGGCCCTGAGATCAATGAGGAAGGCCCAAGTGTCCCCACAGTCTTAGGTGGAAATGTTTGTTATGATGTAAATTTTATTTGGTTTGTACGCAGTTCAATTTCAAAATTGCTAAAAATGTGTTTGAGCTTTAGACTATAACATTTGTTGTAATAATTGCTAGGTTGAAGTTCACCATGTAAAAAAAAAGGGCATGGATTTACATTGCAAAAGGTGTCCACGGTGTATTAGTGACATTCTTTCATTGACAGCTGACATAATTCATTT